AACCAGAATCAGAAGAATTAATGGAGGAGGAGACATGCGATAAATAAAGTTTGTGATGTGTAAAAGTAATAATGCATGGGATGCTGCTTATATATTTTGTGTTCGTGTTGTGCTTTCTGTTTAATTGGATTTGAATAAGATGTAACTTTGTTTGTGTTTTCTAGTTATTGGAATGAAATATGTATAATATGTTACACCAATATAGTACTGAAATATTAATTTGTTCTTTGATGCGACATGGCCATTTGTGAGAGGTCATGAATTCATTTCTCACTTTTTTTTTCTTCTAAATGAGATCAACAAAAACCATGCATAAATCTTTCAACACGTGTTTATCCTACTCTTAAGCTAAGTATTTTTCTATAGGCATATCAACTTCAATATACGTTTACATTAGGAAAATATGAAGAGTACGTATTCATACAAACATCGTAATATTGTAATTGGTAGGTCATATGTAAACATCTCAAGTCCTAGTCATTTGCAATTTACGGGGTTATGTGGCATACATGGAGTATCCATATGACAAGTGGAAGTATATTGCACGTGAATTCTAATAAGTCAATACCCAAAAACACTATTATAATGCAGAGGTCATATCTTACTATGATAATGACGTGTCTAAGCATAGACCTTAGTAATGTGCATATAATTAACAACATCATCTCCACCTTAGCTTCATTAAAACCATCAAATCAAGTTTAAGAGCAATTACTCAACAAGGTGAGGGGAAAAGTTTCGTCCGCGAGGAAAAATATGCCGGTGATCAACAACTCCGGTGCCGACATCGGTGGCGTGATTGTGACTGCAAGGGAACTTTCAATCGCATGGAGCAATGACCCAAACTATTGGAAATGGGTTCCTATTGACGAAGGGTAAGAAATTATACGAACACTACTCTAGATATTGGCTATAGTGGTTTTTAAGTTTACTGGTTTTTCTCAAGAATAGAGTGGTTTTCATGATAGTCATGGAAGCCTTACGTGACGTGATCACATCCATATAAACAGTAAGGATTGAGAGAATTAGACCTTTTTCCAGTTACTACCTAATAGGAGAGGAATCCGTCATATTTAGCTGCTATATAGTTAAAATTTAAAATTCGTATGCAATTTGTTTGAGTCAAATTTAAAATTTTGCATTTTATAGTTAGCAGTTATAATTGCAGGTCCGTTGGATCTTTTTTTTTAATTATGTTGGTGGTTAATTGCGGATAGACCCCTATACTATGACCCAATTATAGATAGACCTTCGGTAGTTATATCGTTGCGGATAGATCCCTTGTACTATCTCTCAAGTGCAAATAGACCCATAATGAAGTTTCTTGACTCTTTTTAATCTTAGGAGGTCTGCTATTTCTCTAAGGGTAAAAGAGTCGATAAAATCTTCATTCAGGGGTCTGTGTGCAATAATAGAACTAAGGGGTCAGGGTAGCTAATAGCACGGGCCATAGTAAAGGGGTCTATTCGCAATTGACCCTAACCAAAATCTGATTTTCCCGTTCCATAATAAAGATTGCAAAAATGCGACTTGGCGTCTATATATTCTTAAAAATTAAAAAAAAAAAATCTTTTGACTACCAACTGTCTGCAGCTACAATAGCAATCATACAGTAATTTGGTTCCTCAATTTTGTATACAGAGAATGGGGTGAAGAAGGGGAAATTGCGGAGTTGATACAAGTTAGCTGGCTGGACGTAGAAGGAAGGGTCAAAATGCAGAACTTAGAAGAGGGGAGAGAATACGAGGTCATGTTTTTGGTGATTATGGGTAACATCGGAGCACGAAATTTTCCGGTCATCCTCAAGCTTATAGCGAACGGCGAGGAGCAAGAGAAGACAGTAGACCTCAATAATTTGCGTGATAAAGGGGAGTTGGTGAGTGTCAGCGTCGGCAAGTTTGCTGCTACTTCAAGTGGGGATGTTGCGTTTTCTCTGGCTAATCATGACTCCAGTTTGAAGGAAGGGCTCAGCGTTAAGGGCGCCATTATTGAATCTCGTTCTTAATTTAATAATAAAGATGAGTATTAGTTTAAGGTTATTTTGTCAAGCGAGTGCTCATGTACTTATCCTTCTCAAGTTTGGGTGTGTAGTTCACAATATAGCGCTGTTGATGGAATAAAGCTGTTCGTGTGCCTTTCTCATGATAATAATAATAATATTAGTAAATCTTGCTGTGCTGTGTTAACAAATTCATTCGGTGAAATATTTGTTCGATAATTTTATTAGTTTGTAATATAAATATCATTCGGCCGGGTATTATATGTGAGTACCTATATGGATGATTTTATTGTTTGAATTAAGTTGGCTCATGTCTCCATCTATACAAATTCTCGCTTGAGCTAATTAATCTTTGTCCATGGAAAAAAAAAGTTAGTTTATTAGTTGTGGTTCATATTCACTAGATCTTAATTTGGTACTGGGCTAACGTGAAACATAGATATTAAAGATTAGTGCTTTTCCTTATTGTTTTGGGGGTTGGTCCGAGGATTGAGGATTCAAATTCAGATTTTTTGTTGGATTTCAATTTAAGGTGTTATTTATTTCCGACTATAATTTGGATTTAACTTCAAGATGTTAATTATTGGTTTAAGAGTAGAATTTGGATTTGAATTTAAGGTGTTAATGATTTAGGACTATGATTTGAATTTGAATATAATGTGTTATTAGTTTAGGACTAGCATTTGGATTTAAATTTAACATATTACTGATTTAGAATTAGGATGAGAATTTGAATTTAAGGTGTTATTGTTTGTCTTTGATTGTTATTAGGATTAGGATAATCCAAATCCACATTCCATTCCAACTCTATACTATTTAGTGAGAAATTTTTAAGAGAAAATCTAAGTCAAAATTGGTGCATTGTGATCTTACTCTGCGGATTTTCTCTCTCCTCTTCTTTTTACTTATTTGAATATTTAATATATCTAAATTAAATATATTTATTTTTTAAATATTTTGTATTTCTAATTTATTAATGTTATTTAATTTTAAAATATTTGTAATCAACTTCTATAAAATTATTTAATTAATTTTAAATGAAACATATCTAATGCTAATTAGTTAATTAATATATTTAATATTTAATATTAAATTAGATTTTTTTATTGCTTAACATTTCTTACATATATAATGTCTTAAATATTTAACATTATATTACATACATTTTGTTTTTATTTAAATGTTAGATATGAAATATACTAAATACATAAATATTAAATATTTATTAAATAATTCAAAAATTTGATGTTAAATGTTGATATAAAATAATATATTTGACATAATAATTTAGTTTGAAAGTTTTAATGCCAAATTAGTTTTATATGATTGAACACTAGTTATTTTCTTTTATATACTTGAATACTAGTTATTTTCATTTATGTTGTTGAACGCTAGTTATGTTCTTTTATGCGGCATCATTTGAACTGTTTAAATGTATTACAAGATGTATTCAATTTTGTTGTTGTCCTTCGTTAATCGAACTGAGGGGGGTTTTCAAATTAATGTTAAATTTTTTATTAATAATTACTATTTAACATAATAAATTTGAAACTCCTAATGATAATAATCTATGAATGTGAAATTTAGTCCGAAAATCCAACCTTTAGTATGCTAATACAAAGTAAAAGTTCAAGAATCCAAACTAAAAGTTTAAGAATTCTACTCAAAAAATCAAAATCTAATCCAAGAATCAGGAGCTCTTACTATAAAATTAGAGTCCGGGCCCCAATCCAAGAACATCAGAATCATGGACGATTATTTGAGCAAAAAAAAAAAAATCCAGAACGAATGACCGTGAGTTATTTTTTATTTTCTCTCAACAAAGATTGTGATGTTATTGAAAGAGTCTCACCTTATTTGTGCGCTAAAGAATAATCGCAACTGTCTACTAAATGATAGATGATTGAGATTGGAAAAGTAGATTATTCACCATATACAAAAGCTTAAATTTTACAAAGGGGGTTAAAAAAATTTAAAAGTCAAAATCCAATTAAGAACTTGTACAAAATTTCATATTCTCCAAACCAAAACTTTCTAAATCCAACTCAAAACTAATGAGAGAAATAAGACCTAACACTTGTATGGTACAGCTAAAATCACATTTAAGACCAGATCAATATCAATTAATTTTCAGGACCAATTTCAGCTGAAGCCTAGGCGCCGACCTCTCCCTCAGTGGCACAACCGAAAATATCCTCAGATCCAGATGCAAACGAAATGATCCCCCCCCCGCCGGCCCCTCGCTCCCCCCCCGTACCAAAAAAAAAAAAAAAACAAAAAAAGCAAAAACCCCATTTCCCTATTAATATCTCCTGTACCTTCCCCAATCGCAATCTGCAGATCCAAACCCTAACGCTCAAATCCAGCCTCAACCATCGCCTTTCTGGAGCAGAGGGGGGGCGAGTCGCCACAAGGAACCCGCGACTTCGAAAGTTACGATCGCCAACGGCCGTACGGCGGGCGGAATACGACTCACCTCACGCCATCGCCGCCCGATCCCGGCCCTCCGACGAGACCTGCTACCTCTCGCGTACCTCTGCCGACGGCGACGCTCGCCCGACTAGCGACGCCCTAGTCTAATCCGGATCCATCGCCCCGGTCTCGCTATACGATGTCCGATGCCGGATCCGATTTCGGGGATCGCTATGGTCAGTCCCGGCCGAAGCCCCAGCCTGCTTATGGATTCCAGCCTAAACCCCAGTATGGAGGTGGAGGAAGTGAGTATGGATCCGGGTATGGAGGTGGTGGAGAGAGTGAGTACGGATCCGGATATTCGAAGCCGAAACCCGATTAC